GCTCCAGGCTCCGAGTTGTCAGCACAGAGCCCGATCCTGGGCTCGAACCCATGACCCGTAAGATCATGACCTGAGCCAAAGTCGGACGCTTAACCGACTGAGCCACGCAGGCAATCCCCCCCCAGCATTCATTTTCAAACAGAGGCAAGCATTTGAGATATAAACTTGCAGTGAAAATGGTTCAGGTATTTTTTTTAACTGCTCCGTGCATGCAAATTAAAAGGAAAAAAAAAATCATCCTCAATGAACATTCTACTTTATTCTTGTATTGCATAGATGGGCATTTTTTATGGGCAAAATGACAAAACAATGTTTCACAAAAAGGGAGAATGAAAGTCACCTGAAGTCTCGTTACCTAAAGAAAATGTGCAGTAGGTGAGTCACTGCAGCGCTTTGGGCTGGCGGTTCAACCTGTAACACCTTCTGCTAGAAATCCCTTTTCTGACTATTAAACTTCTTGGGGCGCCTGGGGGTCTCAGCCGGTTGAAAGTCTGACTTCAGCTCAGGTCGTGATCTCACAGTTTGTTGGTTCAAGCCCCGCGTCGGGTTCTGTGCTGACAGCTCAAGGCCTGGAGCCTGCTTTGAAATCTGTGTGTCTCTTTCTCGGCCCCCACCCCCAAAGAAATGAAAAAAAATAATAAAATAAAATAAAATTCTTAAAAGATATATTGCTCTGAGTAATCATTGGAGATCATGAATGGAGCCCGAGATGTTATTGGCGCAGGAAGGAACATCAAGTTTAAATCTAACTCAGTGGATGTCTACTGTGTGTCTGGGAGGATGCCTGGCTCCCAGTCCCCAGCTGCTCACGGCAGAAGGGGAGACATGAGTGAGCTGAGAATTTCAGCTCAATGTGGTCGGAGCAGAGGAGTGTGGTGGGGGGAGGCCCGGGGCCCTGGGGCTGGGGAGCAGCAGGAGGGAAGACAGGAGGAGAGAGGACATGTTTCTCATGCACAATGACCCCTCCGGGGTGGGCTGACATGTGAGCAAGGGTGCACCAGGGCCAGAAGGAAAAGGGAAAAGCATGAATGAATGCAGGCAGGTGGACGAGGAATTTATCAAAGCACCTTTGATGTTATATAGTACATCCCAGCATTTAGTAATTCCTTTTTTTAGTTTTTAATTTTTATTTATTTTTGAGAGAGAGAGAGAGAGAGAGAGAGACAGAGTGCTAGCAGGGGAGGTGCGGAGAGAGGGGGAGATACAGAATCTGAAGCAGGCTCCAGGCTCTGAGCTGTCAGCATAGAGCCTGATGCAGGGCTCGAACTCAGGAAATGTGAGATCGTGACCTGAGCTGAAGTAGGATACTCAACCGACTGAGCCACCCAGGTGCCCCAATATTTCTTCTTCTTTTTTAAAAAAGTTTGTTATTTATTTATTTATTTTGAGAGAGAGAGAGAGAGCAGAGGAGGGGCAGGAAGGGCGGGGAGAGAGAGAATCCCAAGCAGGCTCCTCACTGTCAGCGTAGAACCCAATGTAGGGCTCCATCTCACAAACTGTGAGATCCTGACCTGAGCTGAAATCAACAGTCGGACGCTTTACCGACGGAGCCCCCCAGGCACCCCGGCATGTAGCATTTCTTATTTCCAGATCGGCATTTTATTCTTTTTTCCTACAACACGTTTTATAGCACAAATACCCCCAAACCACATGAAACAGTTTAGCTTAATAAATTGTTACAAGGTGACTATCCTTATAATTGCCTCCCCCCCCACCCCCCCACCCCAGGATGGGAGAGAGATCCTCAGCAGACACGTAGGGCCTTCCATGTATGGTTCCCAGGCCAGCCACCCCCAAACCAGGTGGCCACCCCCCTGGGCAGCACCCATCACCTCCCTATGTTTCTGCTTCATCAGCCGCGGGGTGTCTGATCACTACGCATACTTTGCCCCTTTTAACCTATGTATGTACCCACCTGCTTCTCTTTTCTCTCCTTGCCACGTTATCTCCTTACCTACCTCTCATGCTGGAATTGAATCAGTCCGTGGAAGTATAAATACATATTTATTATTTTGAGAGCAAAATGCTGCACTAATGATGGTGAAAGCTATTAATTTTATGAAGAAAACCGTAATTAAGAGCTTTAAAAGTTAAAAAGGGACACAGACCGTTGGTTCGTACCAATATTAAGAAGGCGTGTTTGCTTGATCATTCCAGGACTATTGTAGACTGAGCTTATTACATTGAAATAACAGGAAAAGGCAGAAAGTAGAGATTTCTCTGTGGAAATTCGAGAGGATTAGCAACTCCTCATGCAGGACAGAATCTCTTTACGAATGCTGTTTCATTGTTGAGTGGTTTAATTCCTTTAGGGTCACAGATCCTTCGAGCAAAGAACCTGACGGAAAATGGCTCACATCTTGCGCGAGCGAATTAGAAGCAGAATGTCAACTTTTGCCACGCTCAGATTTCACAGAGAGCAAAGTTCAAAACGCAGCTCAGCACCCGCGATCAGGTGTCTTTGAGGCAGACGTGTAATGGGGGCAGAAGGCGGGGGTGGGGGGAAAGGACGGGGACCTGGGAGTACAGAGGCTCCAGGCACAGCTGATTCTATTCTTCCAAACAACACAGCAAACTTGACGCGAATCCTTCAGGGTGCTGCGGCTCCTTGCAGTTTGGAGGCTGACATTGAAACAAAAGATTTGTGGGGACCATGACTCTGGAGCACCGACCAGAAGTTGGCAGATGAGGCTATCAGGATACGGCTAAGCCCTTGATCCTGAGCACCAAGTTCTTTCTAGAAACACATTGCCAGGAACTTTGACCCAACCTGTGTTCTACTGTGCGCTGGAAGGTCAGGGGCAACATCTAAACGGCTGGTTGAACAGGAATGTTCGTTAAGGATTGTGTGTGTGTGTGTGTGTCGGAGAGGACACCAGGAGTGACCAGTATTAGTACCCAGCAATTAAAGCTTGGAGACTCACATGTATAATAATAAAGTTGTAGTGATGTTTGGTTTCTGGCGACTGACGTTTCGGATTCTTCTCGGATCCCAGAAACTTGTTCTACGATGACGATGCTTGGCTTGGACACTGGCTGTCCTCAGGACCTTGGGCTGTGCATGTGGGGACATCAGCAGAGTGGCAAGGGCAGGAGGGAACCCCAGGCACACGGAGGCCAGGCTCAGGGGACAGGCTGGCAGATGCCATCTGGTACCCACATTTTACAGCCTGGTTTCAAAGTGAAGCTCAAAGACAGCAAGTGGAACTCCGAGGTGACACAGCCAGGTGGAGGCCCGGTCAAGGTGGAAGATCCTGAGCTCAGCTCTGGTCCCAGTGAGGGCTTCCTGGGGTGAAGGGGGCCACCCAGCCACCCAAGTTCACACACCAGCCTCGGGGCCCAGTGAACAGATCACGACCCCTGCCTGCGACACATTGGATCCTGTTTCCAACCATCATTCTTTTGGCTCAGCATTTACTGTGTGCTCATTACCTGTGGATCCACCTGCACTCACCTCCATGCACCTGCCTGCCTATAAGGAGACCCCAAGTTGGCTTTCCTGCATGGGGTTTTGCTCTGTGTCCCACCCAGGTGTTCAAACACACAGTCCTTCCCTCCCTCTCCATCCAATTCCCCTTCCTGACATTTCATATTCTCCAAGGATGCTTCATGTTCTGATAGGAGGCGGCTCCCCTTCTGACTCCAAATCCCATGGAAACTGTGGGACTGTACTTTCTCAGAGAGAAACTGAGAGAAGCATCGAAAGTTGGCAAGGTAAATGGGAGGGGATGAAGCTGGGTTAGAGAGTCACCCACACTGGAGCGGGAATGGATTCCATTCCCAGACCCACCTCACAGATTTTATTAGGATAAGTAGCCAGGAGGTCTCTCCCCTGTGGGCAGAGTTGCAGCAATTCTGGGGACAGGAGGTCTCTGCTTAGAGCCCAGCTCCCTCCAGGATCTGGGGGGATCACACGTCACAGGAGCCCCACCCTGCTGGCACTGTACTCCCGGTCTGTCTACACTGTCCTCAGACTCACTATGGTGTCTCAGAGACCCATGAGACTTCTATTTCACAAAATTTACCCTCGTTAATGTAACTGTGGTTTCGTACACCTCTCCCCTGATATTCCAACACATATGCACGAGTGAAGGGTTTTGGTTTCGGGTTTTACCATGAACATATTTTATTGCGGTTGCTTTTTCAGCTAACAGTATCTGAACATCTCCAAATTCACATCTTGGACTTCTTTCTGATCCATGTAGGACTGACTGCTGTATTCATCGGTAACACAGGATTCTATGTTAGAATATCCTCAAGTGTTGTGATTAATTTCACTATTGGTGGATTATATACACTGTTTAGAAATCCTTTCCCCCTGACCACAAACACTGCTGTAAGGAACAGGGATTTGGGAACAAAAGTAATAAGAACATTGGGTTGGCTGCTGATTAATAGAACATTGTAAAGCTAGAACATTCAGAACAGAAGGGGTGCCTTTGAGACGGCATTGGGAGGTAAGAACATTGAAAGTCTAGAAACCCATGAAATGTATCAGGGACTTTCTAGATCATCATTCAGTCGGATGGGTGGAGAATGGGCATGTCCGCAAACGATGGAAAAACACCCACGCCACCCATTTGGCGAAAACATCGAGGCGGTTCTTCCTCTCACACGCATCCCTTCCAAACTCATAACGATTTGACATAAAAAGCTTGAAACACAAAAAGTACTAGCGACTATAAATGACGACAAATGTGGTTTCCAGGTGGGGAAGGCCTTTGTAAGTCTGACGTCAAAAGCGGAGCCGGGAAATCTGCCTGAAATGCAGGAAAGTCTGCATGTAGGAGCCTCACACAGTGAAAAGCCACACTACAAACTAGGGGGGAAAATGTGCACCGTCCGTGAATGATCCCATATAAACAGTTATGAAAATCTTAATCAGAAAAAGAGGAACACCTGACAGAGCAAAGTCTTTAACAGGATTTAGCCCAGTAAAAAAAAAAAAAAAAAAGGAATGCCCAAGAAATATGAAAACATGTGCCACCAGATAGTTCTCAAATAATGCAAATATAAATGATTTAATGCCATTTTTTTTTGCATATCAGAAAGGCAAGGATTTTAAGAAACTGTAATCCTCCGTGGAGGCCCAGATGTAGATCAGAATCCCCTCGTCCACGGCCAGTGGGGGTGGGGGCTGTAATGCTGATCTGGAGGAAGGGAGGGCGGGAGGGCCACGTCGACTATTAGCCCCAAAGCGTACAAGCTTTTGCTCATCTTCCTTTTTCCCTTTGGCGAGTGGTTCTTTCCAACATTTCTAGAGTGCATGTGGGTTCGGGATTCCCTTGCTTCCGAATTTCGGCCCCACCAGCCCGGGTGTAGAAGGGACACCGGGCTGCAGGGACACTGCTCACTCAGGCTGGCGACCTGCAGTCCCCACCTCCTCAGTCACAGCGGTGAGACCAGCAGGGGCCCCCACGGGCTCAGAACAGCTCCTCTCTTGCCCCATTGCTTGGAGTGACCGTCGTTGTCAATGGTATTTTGTCCTAGTGCCTGGGCTGCACTGTTCTTCCAAGCCTTCACCCCTCCCCCAGGACCCTCCCTGGGCGCCTCTTCCCTCCCCCTGGCATTCACCCCTGCCAGGACCAAGCTGTAGACGCAAGCCCTTAACACCACCGGACGGGACATGTCCTGGCTTGGGCTGAGATGCGTCCTCTCCGCATGGGCTTAGCCTGGACCTCAAACTCCCTAGAATGATAAATCCCTGGAAAGAGAAAGAAGATGGGGGCAAAAGCAAGGAAATCTGATAAAAAAAAAAAAAAAGTGGGCAATGGAATGAGTATACAGAGAGCACCAATAGTTTGGAGCTTAAAATGAACTTCACACGACAGGAGAGAGAGAGAGAGTGTGTGTGTGTGTGTGTGTGTGTGTGCGTGCGCGAGCGCGCTTGTCTGTGTGAGAGATCGGGAGGCAGTGGGGAGAGAATTGGCCCAAGGTCAAGTGAGAAGCTAGGAGGCTGACTGACTGACTTCCACGTCTCCACCTGCTCCAACCCCCTCCTTGGCTCTGCAGAGGTGAGTGCGGAGGGGCGCAGGGGGACCACCCCGGGACCTGGAGGGGCTCAGCACACCTCCCTAGGCCTGCCCACATCCCAGGGGGGCAGTGACAGGTAGTCCTGCTGCTTCAGGGCTTTGAAATGCCGGACGGCTGGCATCTGGGGGACGGCCGGGCACAGGGTCTTCTTGGCCTGGAACATGGGGTCATGGTCTCCGGTCTCAAGGCAGGGTCCTGGGGGAGAGGGCTTTGTCTGGGGTGAGAGCGGGCCAGGTCCCAGGCCAGGCAGGAAGCAGTAGTCACCCACCTGCTGCAGGACCAGGAGCCCCTCGGGGTGTGGGGAGACGGGGGCCACCTCCACTCTGGGCTCCCCTGGGCTCAGGGCGGGGCTGCTGGGTGCAGGAGGGGCGGGACTGCCCAGAGGGGACTTGGGACACTGGCCTGGGGTTGGAGGGATGTCCACATAGCCCTCGATTTCTGGCCTCATGGGGGCTGGGACGCCACAGGGCTCACCAGCCGGCCCAAGACTGAGGCTGGGGCTCTGGGCTGAGGGCGAGCCCGGAGGGTGGACCTTGCAGACAGATGGCAGTGCTGTGGGCAAGGGAAGGGCCAGGTCTGCAGTGGTGACGTAGCCAGAGGCCGTAATGCCATCCTCGGGGCCCCCAGAGCCCGTGGGCAGAGCTGTGAGCGCTCTGTCCTTTGGGCCTTGACCGCCCACTGTCGGCCTGTGAACAGGAGAGGCAAGGCCAGCCCCCGACTCCAGGGAGGGGTTCCCTCCAGCCGCCGGGCCAGGGGTCCTCTCCAAATCCTTGGCCCAGCCCTGTCCCATCACCTGGGCCAGTGGGACCAGCTGAACCTGCCCTCCCGCGGGCAGACACAGGTACTCCAGGGGCCCTGAGGGCTGTGGCTTCGGGCCCCCGCCTCTCTGCGGGGACGCGGGCGGGCCCGCCATGTCAGGCAGCGAGTGGCTGCGGGGCAGCCCCAGGTAGGGGCCATTGAAGTCAAAGCCAGAATGCTGGCTCTCAGGCCTGCCCTTGGGGGCCGACGGGCCTGGCTGGGGGTTGGGGGGCTGCTCCGCGCCCAGGTCGGAAGTGGCCGGAGCTGTGTCAGGCTCAGGTGGTGATTCACACACGTCCTTCGGGTCCTCGGTGGTGAGAGGTGACACCTCGCTGTGCCTGCAGTCTGCAGGAAACACCCTGTGGGGAGACGGGGCACAGAGGCGTTGGGGCCCCCTGGGCAGCCACCTCAGCTCATGCTGGGGGTAGGGGCGAGGGGAGAGGAGGGGAAGGGCTGGCCCCACCCAGAGCTCAGGGAGACCACAGAACAGGGCAAGGTTCTTGTTCAAGGCCTTCCTCTGTCAGGTGTGGCTCCTCTCACCCCTGCTCCTTGATATCCACCCAGCTTCGGGGACCTGGGCCATGGCCTCATCACTTCACCCCCCACTGTGCCATCAGCACCCCAGTGTGGGGTCTCCCGGGCCAGCAGGGCAGGGAGAGGTCATCTGCTCCAGTCTTCTGCCTCGGGTCAAGTGCAAGGTATGGCCCTCCCCAAGCTGGGAATGGGGAAGGTCTTCCTGATGACTGACGGGTATGCCTCTGGCTTTAGAACAACTGACATCCACAGATCTCTTCATACGGAGCCACAGGCCAGAGGCCACCTCCCCTGAGCCTCCAGCGTGCACGATGGGGCCACCCTCCCACCTCCTAGGGACCCCGTGCCCAGACACACTCACCCCTCCAGATCAGGGACGTAGCTGCCTCTCGGCCCCTTGTGCAGGGAGCTCCTGATGGGGAGTGCCCATATACCTCCTGGGAGCCTGAGCCCAGCACTCCCATTCTGGAAAGAAAGGACATTAGTGCCATGACCATGTGGGAGTTAGAGAAGCTGAAGGGGAGGTGGGAGCTGGGGCATGACAGGGGATACAGGGAGCCCCCAGACACAGAAGGAGTCTCAGCAAGGCCAGGACCAGCCTCGGCCCCGTGACACCAGGAAGGAGAAGCCCAGAGAGGGGCTGGAGCTTCCCATGGGCTCTTGAGCACTTGAGGATGGGGACCCTCTTCTTGCAAGGCCACTATTCTGGGGTGTCACTGCCTCCACACTCACGTCCTCATTTCCTCCATACTAGCCATGAGACGCTCTCCCCCTCCCTGCCCCCCCGCCCCCCGCCCTGCCACAGGCAAGCTGGCCCTGCTGGCTCAAAGGGCTCCTGGGACCCCTCTGCTGCCGCTCACCTTGTGACCATCTCAGCATCTGGGATGTGCCCCCAGCCTCACTACGTGCTCGGGATTGGAGGGATTTGGTCTGATTTCTTAGTGCCCCTCGGCTCCCTTCATGAAGGGGTCCCGCGTCCACCCTCCACAGGCCTTCTGTCTGCAGTGACCTTTCCCACCTGCATCACGCTGAGAGCAAAGCTCAGCTCTGCTGTCCCGTCCTCCGGGAAGCCATTCTGCCTCCTGTCAGCCCACATGTCCCGGCAGAACTGAGCCCCTCGCTGAGGCCACCCTGACTCCCGACTCCATCTCCTGCTCCGAGGGGCCTGCACACTGGGCCAGCCCTGGGCGCCTGCAGGTGCCCGGAGAATGGCAGAGCTGAACTTGCCGGGGGGCTGGCCTGCCTCTTAGAGCTTCCTGGCACCTTCCCAGGCTGCCCACGCTTCACACTCAAAGCCCCAGTGGGCGTCAAAGACACAGGGACGGGGACACAGGGGTGAGGAGCCCCTATCACCCTGCCACCTTTGCGCTCAGATCTTACCTGGAACAGGTGACTCTTGCTGGGGTTGGGGATTTTCTCCTCCCACTTCCGGTTCAGCCTGGAAAGACACCAGGGAGGTGACAGCTGCCAGAGACCTCAGGGAGCCTGCCCCAGGCTCACGTACAGAGAAGAAACTGAGGCCCAGGAGAAGGTGGGGTTTGGCCCAGGTTTCACAGGGAGTGGGTGGCAGAGAAGGGACTAGAAGGAGCCAGTTGTGGGGTCCCCTGGCACCTCCTGGGGTCCTGAGTACCCTCTCCATCGTAGAGTCCCCTTACCTGTACCCGTAGATGCCACAAAAGCGCAGGACAGGGAGCAAGGCCAAGGTGGTGAAGACCAAGATGAGTGCCAGGACCCACGTGGGCAGCACTTCCGGGTGGCCGGGAAGAAAAAAGAACATTAGCATCTGGGAAGGGACAGAGCTGGAGGCTTAGGGGGTGGGAGGAGGGGAGGCCAGGTCAGTGCCCTCAGGCACTGCTCTGTGCACGTTGCCTTGGGGTGCGGACTGGGAAGGGAGGCCAGACACAGGCAAAGAAGAGGGCATTGGGGGCGCTTGGGTGGCTCAGTCGGTTGAGCGTCGGACTTCAGCTCAGGTCATGATCTTGCTGTTATTGAGTTCGAGCCCCACATCAGGCTTGCACTATCGCCCAGGAAGCACAAAGCCCAGTTAGGATCCTCTGTCTCCCTCCCTCTTTGCCCCTGACCCACTCACGCTCTCTCTCTCAAAAAATAAAACATTAAAAAAAAAAAGAGGGCAATGGTCTGACCTCCCCCACCCCCCATGTTCAAGTGCTGGCAAGGACAGAGAGGGTTTGAGTCTTTCCAGTAGCAGGTGTTATGGGGGTGGGGGTGGGGTAATGACTATGGCCCATGGCAATCACGAGGGACTTCCTATAAGAGGCAGCATATAAGCTTGAGCATCAAGGCACAGGAAGGTTTGGAGAGGCACAAATGGGGAAATGGAGCCCCAACTTCCTGCTGGGCAGCCTTGAGCCCCTCATAGGACTCCATCGGTCTCCTCCCTTAGGCCTGGTGTCCAGCCCTCCTTTTGCCTTGATTATGGCCCTGGGACTCCTCTGCAAGGCTGGCTGGAGCTGGGGTCCTTGCTGCTAGTACCTCCTCAGTCCTTTCTCTGCCACTCCCTCCTGGACCTAGTCTGGTACTTGTCTCCTGGGGGCCACTATGGCCGATGGCGAGGGACACGGAAAGCAGCCAAGTGTAGGGAAATGGGGGGAGACGAAGAAATCAGACCAAATCCTTCCAATCCCAGGCCTTGGTCCATAGCTCCTGATGTTTGCTGCCATGGTAACTAGAAACTCATGCTGAGTGGTCACCCGGTGATGGTCACAAAGGTTAATGAAACCACGGGCCATATTAACAGAGGGCTAAGGTCCAGTCTGAGGGAGGACTGCTCATCCCTGCTCTCAAGACCTCACCTGCAGTCTCTCTGTGGCACACCAGCCATCGCTTTGCAGTGACTGGTGACACGTGGAGGAAAGGACACTCGGGTGGGGTGGGGTGACACTTCTGCCCAGCTGGGCTGTACCCGGAAGGGGGACGTGGGGCTGGGACACCTACCCCATTCAGTGTCCCAGAAGCACTCCTCACTCCACCGGCTCCAGACCCCGTTGTAGCTGCCGGGGGTGGGCCTGACCCTCACTCTCGCCTGGTACTTGGTGACGGGCTCCAGTGGTGGCAGTGGCATGACGTGGGAATTCTCGAGGGTCACCGTCTTGCTCTCCTGTGGGCGCAGGCAAGTGAGCAGGTAAGTTGAGGCTGAGGCTACTTGCCTGGTGCGGGGGGGGGGACAGTCAGTTGCAAGCCCCTCCCCCCTCCTCAGCGCCCCAGCTTTTCTGCTCCATCAGGCCCTGGCTGCACCCCATCACCAGGTCTGAGTCCTCCCACGCCCCAAGGAGGGCCCTCCTCCAGGGCACACAGAGGCAGAACCCTCTGGATGGGACAGGGGACCGCACCCCTGTGACACAGGACCACACGGAGGCTCAGACATCCTGGGGACACAGGACCCCCACTCTAACCCCCCCTCGCCAACCGCTGAGCTCCTTGGGGGTGGGGGGACAGGCCGGACCCTGGTTATGGCCCGCCCCCAGCTCCACCGCTGACCACGCCCCTCCTGGCTTCCACTTCCCCGCTTCCAGTCTCAAGGTCTGGGGCTGGCTCCCGGGCTGCTGGCTGGGGCCCTGAGGAGCCCGGGTTCTGCACACACAGCCCCGCAGCTGTCTGGGGCGTGGTGGCCAGAGAGGGAGCTCTAGGCAGGGGCCCTGCCTGCTTTACCAGAGCAGCTCTGCTCTTAGCAGCTGCACATCTGCATTCCAGACAAGATTTCTCTGAAGAAAAGTCTGACAAGCCTGCACCCAGCTGCCTCTCCGCCCTCTGAGCCCTGATGTTGACATCGCCTTGGCAAGTCAGGGTCCCATCGTTAACCTTGGCCATGTCCCATCACCTCTGTGAGCTTCCGTACCTTCGCCAAAGCATACGACAATGACCAGCTGACCACACAGGGTCATGACCATGAAGTCCCAGCGGCTTCCTCTGACCTGTCACCTGCTGGGAGCCAGGTGCCTGCAGGTCGGCGCTCACTTGCCTATTTTCCCCCACTCCCCCTACCCCCTTCCCGGGCTTAGGCCCTCACCTCCCATGTGTCTACATCTTGCTTGTACTGGATCTGGAAGGTGTGACCTATGTGTTTGTAGAGCATCTCCCCTTCTGTCCAGCTCAGGGTGTAGCCATCTCTGCTCTTGGTCACAGTGAGTGTCGGGGGGGCCATCTGGACTGGAGGGAGGGAAACCTTTAGGAAACAGTGTTCCCAGCATTCCTCCAATGGAAGGTTCTTATCCTTCCATGCTGGTCACAGGCGCGCTCTCTCCCGCTCCACCCCTTCTCCGGGTCCTTGCACCTCACTTCGCCATACTTTCCACTTTGATCCAAGCAGCCCTTCTCTTGAGAGCTGCTGAGATGTGCTCGTTTTGTAGGGAGGTGAACCAAAGCATGGGTCACCCCCAGCCTTTACATGACACGTTATTAATTGGTCCTATTCTAACGTATTAACTATGTCTTAGGCACCATCGTCCATGCTCAATCTGCATGAATCTCTCCCTCAATTCTTTTTTTTTTTAATATATTTTTTTATTTATTTCTAGGAGAGAGAGAGAGTGAGCATGGGAGGGTCAGAGAGAGAGGGAGATACAGACTCTGAAATAAGTTCCAGGCTCTGAGCTAGCTGTCAGCACAGAGCCTGACGTGGGGCTGGAACCCACGAACCGCAAGATCATGACCTAAGCGAAAGCCGGACGCTTAACCGAGTAAGCCACCCAGGCGCCCCTCTCTCCCTCAATTCTAACAGCAACCCAACATGGTAGGTACACTTCACAGATGGGGAAACTGAGCCCTAGAACGATTAAATAACTTGCTAAGGACAGGCTTCTCACAAGTGGTAAAGAAGAAGATGGTAACCCAGCAGATCCTCAGAGTGAGTGGTAGATTCCAACCCGGGTGGCCAAGGCAGATTGGCCGTGGCCTCCTACACACTCAGAAGACTGAATGGAAGACCCTGGGGTCCTCATGAAGCAACACAGGAGGCGCCTTTGCATGGGGTCCTTGCTGCATAAGAGGAATGGGGGGTACCGACCTGCAAGGAACGACCATTCATCTGCACATATTCTAGCCTCCGACTGAGGAAGTAACTCACAGATCGATTCTTTTGAAGACTGAAAATATCAGTCTGCAGAGGACTTTGGAAATCTGAGAAAAAAAACCCAAACAGGGAACGAAAGGGAAAGTTTGGGGGGAGGAGCAGGTGGGCAGGAGGGGCGTCCTGAGCAGCTGTGGAGCAGGACAGGAAAGCAGAGCTAAAGGAATAGGAGACAACAGGCTTTAAAGACGTGTTCCTGGGGAGTATCTATGGAACCTTCCTTCGTGTTATTTGCTGTTGTCATCGTGCGATTCCTGCTTCTTGAGAACTTCAGGAAGAGATTGGAATGACTTTTGAGCACTTTGCTCACTGGGCTGCGTTTTGTTGAAAGGGACCAACGTGAAGACTGGGCCATTGGGAGTCCTGGGTTTACGTGGGTCACACACCGAGACAAGACTCGATGCAACCAGTGCGCAAGGCTGGGGGCGAACTCACTGTGGTCTGAGCTCTTTATAAACTTCTCTTCCTCCTTCGGCCGAACAGAGATGGTGTACTGGCTGTGGTTCCTGGGGTCGGGCACGGGGATCTGGCATCGGTGCTGGACCAAGAGGCTGCCGAGCGGTTCCTTCAGCACTGGGGAGCACTCCTCTTCCCTGAGGAGCACGGTGCACGTGAAGGCAGAGGGAGGCAGGGGCCACGGGAAGGAGGGAAACTCAGGAGGAGCCGTGGCTTCCACTGGGGCCACTCAGAGTCAGGGGGAGGTTTGGAGGAGACAAGGTGGTGAGAAGGGGATGGAGCAGAGGAAAGAGGGTGCTCACCTTGCACTGGGGCTGGGCTTGTAGAAGAGGGTGAAGGAAACTGAGCTGGCCACCTCAGACCACACTTCCCAGGAGCAGCTGAGCACGGCGGCCCCATCGAACAAGCACTGGAGGTTCTGGGGCTGGGCCTTGTCCCCTGGGAGGGGAGACAGTCCCTTCATTCCTTCCTTCCTCCGTTCATTCCTTCGCTCTCGGGGCGGGGGGTGGGGCTACCATGAGCCTTATCTCAGAGAGATTGTGGGGCTTGGGGACCAGAAAAACTAGGGCTTAGAGTTAGCCTGAGCCTGCAATTGTAGTGACCACAGGTCAGAGAGTGAATTCCGTGAAGCTTCTTAGCCCCTTGCGCACCACGGGGAGAGCATCAGGTTGCAGTATTGGGGGGGCTCAACATGATAACGTTGGTTTGTCCACACACAGCATAGCGCTCGTGGGAACACAGCTGCTCAGAATGCCACTGTCACCACACGTAAGGCTTATCAGTGTAATGTGTGCACAGAAAGGCTGCAGGGGCTGGAGCCTGGGCCCTGGGTGGTGTGTAGCCATGCTATCTACGCAGTCTTCGTATTCTGAACACAACACAGAAGATTTGTGAGGAACCCCGCAGAATGGACTCCTGGACTTTTCCTGTCCAGGAGCTGACTGAGCCACCTTCCCTTCCGAAGGGCCTTGCCCCAATTTTGACTTTGTTACCTGTCTGGGAGTCCCAGTGAACCTCCAGGCTCCACCGGCTGGGCCTCCCCGAGAGCCCTGAGCTGGGGGCCAGGTGGGTGCGCACTCGGGCCATATAGGTGCTGCTGGGAATGAGGTGCTCCGGCCCCAGGACAGCCTGGGAGGAATTGCAGTAGAAGGTGGGGGCATCCTGTGGGGAGAGAGGGGTTAATGGAGCAAGCGCTGGCTGGGCAAGTCCCTCAGCCTAGGGCAGAGCTGGCCTTGGTCCTTACCTCCCAGGAGTCCTGAAGCCGCTTATAGACCACCTCAAACTCCAGGCCTGACAGCCAGTGGCTCTGGGAACCCGGGGGGGCCACAGTCCAGGTCAGCAGGAAACGGTCCCCAGCAGGAGTGATCTGCAGGTCCTTGGGTGCAGGGGCCTGAACTGGAGGAAGGGGAGGTCAAGGGCTCATAAGGGGCTGGATGATCGTAAGACTGCATGCTTTGTGTGAGCAGACTTGGGCCCCAGGCTGAGTGCCATCCTACCAGCTGAGTAGCCTTGGACAAGACCCCTTTCCTCTGCGGGCCTCAGGCCCTTCACCTGCAAAAATGTGGGGGTTCCCTGTGAACAGGAATGAAAGCCGGGCAGATATCACCTAAGCTCCATGAAAGGTGCTGGCAGTTATGCTCCTCTGAATGGAGCCTCCCGTCCCCACTGCCCACCTTGCGGCCCCTTCCCAGCAGAGGGCGCTGTGGTTCATGTTACTCCCCATCACGCTGTCCACCCTCCTTTCCACCTGCCCAGGGTCCTGCTCCTCTCAGAGCCCAGCATAAATGTCTCCTTTTCCAGAACTTTCTTGGATCCCCCCTTTCCGCTTGAGCAGAACCCATTGTCCCTTTTCCTGTCCCACCACAGCCCACTGTATGGGCCTCAGAGCCCTGGTGGATTTAGGTGGCTCCATTTCTGCCTTTCCACGTAGTCAGGAACTTATGGGCGGCAGGGTTTGGGTCTCCACCCCCTTCCCTACCCTCATGGCCTGAGATTAGTGATTCACTGAATTTGGGGGACAAGGTGAATGAAGGATGAATGAGTACATGAATAAATACACGCAGGCAACCTTCACGGACTTTTCAAGAAGGCATTCCTTCAAACAACAGCAAGTGTGTGTCTGTCGGGTGAGCATATTCATTACTGAATGGCACAGCTCCCACCTTCCTGAAGCTTCTGTGTCTGAATGCTGAGGGATGACTTTCAAACACAAATAATCCAATGAGTCTGAGCGGGATGTGGCATGTGAGAGCATGTCAGAGCTGGAGCCTCTAGAAAATCTTAAGCCGCAAGTGGCAGATACAGGGTGCCGCCTCTTCTGTACCCCCACTCTTGCAGCCACAGCAGACATTGCTCTTTAGTCACTGCACTCCTAACCCCTAAGCCCCTCAGGGAGTGGGAATCCCTTTCAGCACGGAGCTCTCGAAGGTGCTACCCACTGAACGGACTGGGAACCTGAGTGAAAACCTGTCCATCCAACCTGAGAGATTGTAGCTCACAAGCCCATTTCACAGGTGGAAAAATGGAGAGAGGAAGTAAATTACCCCAGACCTCCACATGTGGGAGCCTCAGAGCAGGTCTGATGCACACACCTGTCCCTCCTCAGCACCAGAAGCTCCCCTAATCCATTGCCAAAATAGCTGGGCTGGAACTGACCTCCCTGGAGCCTCAACAAAGGTTCCAGGAGGCAAACATCACACATCCCTCCCCATTTCAAGTTGTCTCCATGTTCACCATTGTCACTTCCCTGTGACCAGGCCATAAGCTTCACGGGGGCAGGGACACTGACTGCCTTGTTCACTTCTGAGCTGGTGGATGTGAGTGCCCAGTGAGAGAACAGATTAATGAATGAAGTGCATGCGTGTCCTAACTATGATTCGTGTGCCTCCCCTGCTCCCGTGCCCTGGCCACGTTCCAGTTGAACCATCACCATTTCCCTGTGGGACGAATGCCTTAGGTTGCATTCTGGGCCCCAGCCTCCTGCCCCTTCCTGCCCACTGCCATCTACCCTGTGCGTCACCCACCTCCAGCCTCCTCACATCTGACTAAGCCATGCCCCTTCAATGGCTCGCCATCACCTAGTTGGTGGCATCTAAACCCCTTTGCAGGGCACAAGGCAGAGTCTTCAGCTCTGGCCCCGCCTGCTCTGCCCCCTCCTCCTTCCTTGCGCTGTCCAGCCCTTTTGATGCTGAATCTCCTGGGCTCCGATTACTCACGTTTCTCCCAAGCTGCCCTGCCCTCTGCAGTCTCCCAGCCTTGGCACACGCTGTTTCCTCTAGGAATGTTCTTCCTGCTCAGTCCTCTTACCTACCCTTCAGCTTTCCCTGCAAAGCTCTTTCCTCCGGGAAGCCTGTCCTGACCGCCACCACCCCCAGGCTCCTTGCCCTCTGCCCCTAAGCACGTGGCACATGGCACCCACCTTTGGTCCAACTTCTGGTACGTCCTGACCTCTCAACCTGATGCCTCAGCCTGGCCCCACCGGGTTGGGGCCCTTTGCCATCCATCAAGCACATTTAGAGACACTATTTGAAATGAATTCACCATTTCATGGTGGGGCCTAACCCATCCCCTCCTCTGGGGAATGGCTTTGTGCTGCTGTGATGAGAACAGACAGGACGAGGAAGCAGGAGCTCCCTCTCCATCTGGTGCTTGCACCTACAGTGGGGCTGCCCAGTGTTTGGGACCCAGGATGCTGAAGTCACACACATGCATCTGGGTGGCCTTGGGCGAATTCCTGTTCTCTGAGCCTCAGTTTCAATATCAGTGAAATGGGGTAAAAAAAAAAAAAAAAAGTAGTGCATGACACCACAAATTACTGCAATGATTAAATAATATTGGGCAGTGCTTCCTAAAAGCCAGCCACCTGTAGCATTTCCATGTCCATTTCAACTTTAAAAGGTGATCCCCTCAAACATCTCTATTTTAGTTTCATTGTGAGCACAGATAAAATTGAATTAATGAGGTTGAAGTGCTGGTTATGTTTCTGTGTAACACACAGTCAAACAAAGCCTAGCTTATTTCTATAAAATGATCATTGACACCCACCCAGGACCACTGACTTTTTGAGGCTGCTGTGGACACACGGCGCCCTCACTGGAGGCCACTCAGGGCGGGCAGTGAGGTGATGACCTCCATCTCCAGTGCGGGGCGCCCTGGGCAGGGCTGACCCATCACTGACTTGACTGCTCAGGGGTGGGCCTTTGGAAGAGTCATATAATCTCTCTGGGCTTGAATCGCCTCATCTATAAAATGAGTTGCTGCAGACGTTGGATGAGACTTATATGGTGATGAGTGTTTTCAAGCTATAAAGTTTCTACCCGAATAGGAAGGATGGTTCTCCCAGAAAGGAAGCTTTCACTGCTGGAAGGCCTATCTTGGCAGGTGGTGGAGCTTTCAGGGCCCAGGGAGGCCCCAGTGCCCAAGGCCCCTTCCCACTGCACCTGCTCCAATGTCTCCATTGTCAGGAGGCCACGCCCTCCTCTCTCAAGAGACAAAACCCACCCCCAGCCAGTGTCTCCGCCCCCTGAAGACTATCACTTTCTGGCCCTTCTGCAGTCTGGCCACACCCCAGGTGTTTCACTGTCCTTTCAGGGGCCACCCCTATCCGGGGACCCCAGGCCTTACCATTCTGGTCCAGAGTAACAGTGAGCTGGGTGCCCAGAGGCCTGTCTGGTCGGAATGAGTAGTAGTCATTGTCGGCGATGACAAAAACCTTGTAGGGAATGACGCATCTTCTGGGCACGCAGCCTGTACAGTCGTGGCCCAACAGGTCCATGTCATCACTGAGGTCACAGGACACTGGCTCTGGAGGGTCCCTGCCAGGAGAGAACATGGTCGGCCCAGAGGGAAGAAGTATCACTCATTCAACAAAGGTCACTAAGCGGTCACCACATGCGAGGCTCTGTCCAGGGCCAGGGAACTGCCTTCCTGGTGGAGGGGGACGCGCATGAAACAACTAAACAAAATATGTCATATGTCAAATGGAGCAAACTTTACACAGACAAATACAGCAGGGAAGGGAGATACAGAAACCAGAGGAGTGAGGTGGGGGGTACCTGAAATAGGGGAGACTGGGAAGGCCTCATGGCAAAGGTGACTTTTGGGCAACTTGAAAGAAGTGAGGGAGGGAGCCATGCAAATTTGGGGGGAGAGGGGAGTTCAGGTAAAGGGAACCTCGGGTGCAAAGGCCCTGGGGCAGGCACAGGCTTGGAGTGTTGTATGGCTAGGCAGTCACCCAGTGTGCATGGAGGGGCGTCTGTGTGAGTGGGAGGGAGGGAGACCAGTAGAGCAAGGTGACAGGTGGTAGCACTTAAAAGGGAACTGAGGAATTTGGATGTCACTGAGAGTGGGGAAGATTGAGAGTTATGAGCAAAGGGGTGACATATTGTGACATAGGCTTTGAAAGGCTTCCTCTGGCCTCTGGGCTGTGGATAGATTGGGGAGAATGGGGGTGGTAGTCTCGGAAGCTGAGAGACCAGGTAGGAGCTTCTGACATATCCACATGATAGGAAATAGTTCGCAGCAGGCTGGTGGTGTTAGCCTTGGCCTGATTCACGTCCTAGCTGAAGATCAAGTCTGCAGCATTCGCTGATGGGTTAGAGGCACCATGGGGAAGGAAAGGTGGTAAAGGAGGTAAAACAACAGTAAACCTCCCAGAGGCTCCACTGGCACCTCAAGGAGCCCCTGTTTAGTGAAGTGGGATGTGGGGGGTGAACGGAAGCGGTGTGTGGGGACAGGGCACGAATTTGGTGTAGAACATCGGGGGTGGAAGGCACCTTTCCCTACAGGCCACGTGGAGAGGCAAGTGCAGGCCTGGAGCTTAGGGGACGCGGGGCTGGAGAGCATGTGAGAGTCACCAGTGCACAGCCCGAGGCTGGGTCTCCGCCCCCCCATTGGGTATAAAAGACTGGAGATCCAAGGATGAGCCCCAGGGCACCTCACCCTTCAGGTTAGAGACAAAAGAAGGGAGCAAACAGAGAAGGTGAGCCAGGGAGACCCAGGACGGGGTGAGTGGGGCGGCCAGGAGAGACAGGTGCTTCATGAGGATGCTACGGTCAGTCTGCGTCAGGTGCTGCCCAAGGTCAAGGAGGGAGGAGGCTGAGACCGAGCATTAGGTTTAACGGCAGGGAGGGCTTGGCTGCCTTGGGTGGGAGTGGTCTGGGCGGCCTGGTGGGGCCAGCCAGAGTTCAGAATAACTGGAAAGACCTTGGATGCCATGAGTCTAGACAACTCTTTGGAGGAGGGTCGCTTCAAAGGGAAGCAGAGGTAGGCCCCGCCGGAGGAGACGGGGGTCAGGAGACACCCCAGTGCTTCAGCCCTTGGTGGTGGCATCTGTAAGTAAGTGGGGGGCAGGGCACAAGGGCTCAGGATTGGGAATGATCCCGGGAGAGGGCCCGTCCATGTTGCAGGGAGATTGGAACTGTAGTGCCAATGCTGTCCCTGAGCAGCAAGACTGGGCGGATCCCGGGGGCGCCTTAGACAGACCTGGGGCAGGAAAGGACGAAAGGGAGCCTCCAGAGAGGCTGCAGAGATGGCGCAGGCAGTGTGAGCATGGAGGGGGCGGGAGCCTCTCATCCAGGGGAGGCGGGGGGGTGGGTGGGTGTTTCAGCATAGGAGGAATTGGGCCACAGCTGAAGGTGGGAAGTGGGGGTGGGCAAGGAGGGTGGAGACAGGAAGAAGGAGAGCGGGAGAGAGCGCTGAAGGGCGATGCTGGGGTGTGTGAGGAGCTGCTCACCCCCCAGGCTGCCTCCAGGGGGGTCTCTCGGCACCTATGATGCCAGCCATTTAATTATTTCTATCATGACAAGGTAGACCGTCACCAAACCCCAGAACGCTGTGCGGAATCTTCCCAAATGGCACACACTGTGGAGACCATGTGAGGGGTGCGGGGAAAACCCACACTCCGGAGGCAGCAGCCAGCGCCTTGGGGAGATATGGAGCCCAGCCCCACATGCCAGACTTGGGGCGCTGTTTCCCATTCAGTCACACAGCTTCCCTGTGGACCTCGCCCTCCACAGCCTTGGTTTGCTCATCTGTGAACTGATCATGACTTGAGCCCAAGTCAGAGCTTAACCAACAGAGACACCCAGGAGACCCCAGGGCAATTCTGTTGAACTGTGATGAAGTACAATTACCACCACCACTGCCATCAACAGCCATGTTCATGTGGAAGCCTCTCCCCCAAAACCCCAACATCAGACATCAGACCTGGCAGGCTGCCCAACGGAGCGGGAGCTCCTGGCTGGGGCCTCCCCCTCCCTGCCCTCTGCCAGCCCCCCTGCCCGGCGCAGCCCCACACAGCAGCATCCCTGTGCTGAGCCCCGGCATCACTTACTCATTCAGTCGCCGGAAGAGGGTCAGGCTGATGAGCTGCTGGGCATGGCGAGTGTCCGCCCACCTGCATGTGATGTGGCTCTTGTAGTTGTTATAGCAGCTCAGGGTCCGCAGCGGAATGGTCTCTGCCCAGGAAGAGGCAGACAGGGGGTCAAGACTGGATATCCCTTGTCACCCCCTCCCAGCCCCTCGGGGGTGCCCAGAGCTGGGGAGGGGTTTTCCGGAGTTCTGTAGGGGCTCCTGTCTGCTAGACAGAGCTCCCCAGGGGCCCTGGGCAGAGGGGGAGGGCAGGGGTTCTGGGGGTTTGAGGGCCCGGCTGTCTGGATAGAAGCTCAGTATTCTAGAAGAGTCACAGCATATTTCCTGAGACCCGGCTGTGCCCTTGCTCCTGGCACAGGGTCTCCTTCCCACCCCAGGAGGGACACTTGCATTGGGCACGGGAGGAACAGCCTGGGAGGAGAGGCAGCATAGCAGAACCCTCTGGGACCTTCCCACCTTGGTCTCTTGGTCAGCTGCAGCTGATGGTGTGAAAAGAGAATGTGGTTCTCAGGGTTATCAGAGAAGCCATGTTCTCTGGGGGCCCTTGGGGAAGGGGTTCGTGGGCCTTAGGAGCCAGAGGAACCCAGCAGGGCCTCCCGAGCAGGAGGAGGGTCCTGGGGCCAAAGCAGGGAGAGACCGCCAGTCTGAGGGGCTCCAGGAACAAAGGCACAAAGGAGGGAGTGGTTAGGAGCAGTGTCTGGGGGGTTGGAGCTAAGGCTGGAACGGCCAGCCTGGAGGTGAGATGCCCGGAATGCCATGCTGAGAAGGTGGGCAGAGAAGCCACACAAGCAGAGACAGACATTCAGCAAGCTGGAGAAGAATGAGAATCCAGGAGGGGGAGTGGGGAGCCAGAGAGGATAAGGAAGGGGCACATGAGGGAGGGTGGGGGGCCTTGGGGCTTCCTGGGCACATGTGGGTGTCATCTTGCTCAAGGGCCAGCTGTGAGGAGGGTCACAGGGAAGGGCAGGAAGCAACGGAGCTCACCTTGGGCTCCCGCCACGCCGGGCCCCCAGAACAGAGCCAGCAAAGTTACGGGGAGCAGCACCACGGTCAGCACCATCTCTGGGTCCGCTCTGAATGAGTAGGTGGTCGGCTTAGGTGGGTCCAGGTCTGTGAAGGGGCAGGGGTCCTCACTGCCCTGGAGTCATGTATTCTTGCTCAGCTGAAGGCCAGGCCAGACCCATGTCCTCGGCTCCTGTGAGTCCTCTCTCCAGGATTCTGCCTGCAGAAGAGACATCAGCTGAGAGCTGCCTCCTCCTGTCCTGCATTCCCTGGACTTGACCCACGTTGCAGAGTGAACCCAGGAGTGACGCATGGGCTCCTGCGCCCCCTGCCACCTCAGCCTGGCACCCAGGACAGTCCTTTCCCCTTAGTCTCAGTGGCTGGGGTGTGACTTTGAGGGAGATGCATTGAATGGCTTCTGAAGAAGTGAGTCCCCCACCCTGGCTGTGTGCCAGGAACGCCTGTGCAATCCCCTGGCGATGGAAAACCCACACAGGGAGCCTGGTATTTGGCTTGCTCTGTGCTCCCTGCAGGCCACTGACCTGGTCAGCTTTAGAGGGGCCGCAGGGTGTGGGGGCCGCAGTGTCCTACCCCGGGCGTGATCACACGCATGCTCACTCACACCGCGCACACACATACACACACACACTCCATTTACTGTCATCCCTCCCACACCACCCTCAGAACGCCTGTTCCCTTTTCTCCCCAGAAGGCTGGGGATTTCCTCTTTTCTTTCTGTCTCGCCCTGGGAAGTACCCAGGAGAGCAGAGCAGAGGACGGTGGTTCCTTCTCTTTTTTTCTCCCTGTAAGATTGCCCGAAATTTCACTCAAGATGCACATATGCATACACACAGAGCAGCAACTTTCTTACTGGGAAAAGCAGGGCTCTGGACTCAGCGGACCTGACCTTCAGCACAGGCTCTGCCCCTCCCTGCCAACAGCCTGTGCTGATCCACCAGTGCTCCCTGAACCTTGTTCTCTGCACCGGTAACAGGGGCACAGATACACGTATCCCACGTGAGAAGAACCCGATGCGGTGATGTTTATAGAGAGAGGTTCATCCAATAAAGGCTCCGGAAAGAGGAGCAGGTTGTTTGGAGCTGGGGGGGAGTATTCGTCCACTTCAGCTTCTGTAGCTGGAGGCCGTGCCCTGGAGTAAGGGCGTGAGTCCATGTGGCTGGTGCGGCTTCGTTTGCCTACCTGGGACTAGCCTAAAAATCCAGAGCTTCTACTTGGGTCTAATCACAAGCAGAAATACTACATGTGCAAAGAGAGCAATTCATCCTGAGATAAGCTACAGGTTTAACACAAGTCCAAACAAAATGTAACAACATGGTCTTTTTTGTAGAAACTCAGAAAAAAATAGACGTGAGGACAGTTAATGAGATTTTTAGCAACAAGGAGGCTCTCCCTAATAGCAAAACTTATTGTAAAGATCTGGTAATAAAGCTGTGTGTTGCGCACACACACATACGCACATGCAAATACATCAATGGACATCCAGACCAGGCAATTCTATTCTACCCAAGAATGCCCTAGGTGATGAAGGAGGGGTCATGAATCAACATGAAGGGCTGGATAATGAAAAGGGCTAAGATACAATGAATCACATTGTAAAACATGTGCACCTAAATCTCTATCCCAAACTACCCTCCAAATATGAGGTCCATTAAAGATTTAAATATAAGAAGTTAAATCAGGGGTGCCTGGGGGGCTCAGTCGGTTAAGCGTCTGACTTCAGCTCAGGTCATGATCTCATGGTTCGTGGGCTCGAGCCCCGCGTCGGGCTCTGTGCTGACAGCTAAGGGCCTGGAGCCTGCTTCTGATTCTGTGTCTCCCTCTCTCTCTGCCCCTCCCCTCCTCGCGCTGTCTCTCTCCCTCTCAGAAATAAATAAAACATTTAAAAAAGTTTAAAAAAAGTTAAATCATATTAAACTTTCAAACCATGGGGCAGACAGCGTCTGAGCTGCTCCCTGCTCCCTTGGTAACAGAAGCTCAGGCTTCAGCTGGGCTTGGTACTACACAGAATAAAAGATTATATTTCCTACACTCGGTGGAAATGTGCTCGGTGGGGTCATGTCACTAAGTTGTCCAAGGGGATGTGAGTGGAAGCATTGGGTATGCCTTCCAAAAAAGGGCTTCTTAAAGGGAGTTGGCTAGTGTAGGAAGGGTCCATTTCCTCTTTCTTCTAGCCTACAACTTGGAAGTGATGGCTGGAGCTCCAGAAGCCATTTTGGACCGTAAGGTTGCCTTGAGGATGGAGCTATATACAACAGAGAGAGGGAAGCCTGGACCCTTCTTGTCGCTCTGAAGCAACCATACCAGCCTAAGAGCGCCTACCTCTGAGAACACAAATAAACTTCCATACTGTTAAGCCACTGTAGTTTGGGGATTTTTCATGCAACCAAACAGATACAATTGGAAATAGAAGAAAACTTCACAGGGCTTAAAGGAGACACCGGTCCACTGAAGTGAAGGACAAGCTTAATTTTTAATTGTGCCAAACTCACTCACATGTTGGTAAACTCTCGGTCATCCAAGAATAAAGGGATACTCCGAAAAGGTCCCGGTAGGAAACAAACATTAGTTTCAATGGAACAAGGGTTAGGTTGGCCAGATTTTCTCACAAGTGACCCTGAACTCTAAATAGATACTGATGTCTTGAAAATACTGAGGGAAAATATGTTTAAACCTAGAATCATTAAAAGTCAAGCTTACTTTGACGCTCCGGGGCAGAAAAATGCAACATTTGGAAATGTAGTAAAGACAAAGAAAATGTTCAGATCTTTTCTGAGAAACACAATTTACTCTGGGATGTACTCCAGGAAAAAAAATAGTTCAAGAAAAATAGCATATGATGCTGGAATTGGTGGTGTGAGAAGAAACCAATTAAGGCTAATACTTAGTAAAGAAGAACTGTTACTTATAAAGTGAAAGTAAGTAAATATGTGATAACTGCAGATGACTGTAAGGTGAGATGATTGGCTATGAGGTTAGGTGTGGAAAGTGGAGAACGGAAAGCTTGTTTAGGATCGTGTCTGTTTTGAAGGAACATATGTGTGTTAGTTACGCCCAAATGTTGATGGAAAATATGTTACATACACGTGTTAAAAAGGTAAGGGTTAAAAAGCCACTAAGAGTGAAGGGTAAGCATGGGAGCGAAGGCAGACAGGGAGAGGGAAGGGAGAAGGAGGAAGAGGGGAAAACAGAGAAGAGAAAAACCAAGCGCCTTTTCACTCGAAACAAACATGCACACCAACATTCCCAAACGCATGAAGAAATGTAAGGCAGGAGTAAAAACTGGAAATGAAAACAAAACAAAACAAAACATAAGTTCATTCCAGACAAAAAGAACGTCATGGGACAATCTGACAAAGGCTTTTAAACGAAGAATGTATCATGACCACATGGGGATTATTCCAGAAACAGAGAAACAGCCATTAAGAAACCTCTTTGTGATTAAAAGAATCAGACCAACAGATTAAAGGGGGAAAAAAGGATCAGCTTATCTCCACAGATGCTTCTCAATATTCGATAAATACAGAAGCCATTCCTGATTAAGCACACGAACCAGTGAACGTTGACAAACGAGGCATTGAAGGGCACGCGGGTGTTTCTGGGCATCGACGACAAATCTGTAGTGATGTCAGAGTCAAAGAAGAATGTGCCCTTCCTGTCGGGGGCACAAGCAGGGGAAGTCTGCCCACTACTGCCATCTCTAGTGATCAGTCCTCTCTCCAAATAATCTCTAAATTCAACGCAACGCAAGTCAAAACTCCAAAAGGATTTTTAACAGGCTTGACAAACCGATTCTAGATTATAACAAGCTAAACCGGAAAGATGGGTTCTCTTAGCCAGAAAAGTGATGAGGAGTATAAATGTAGACAGATGGAATAGTAAACAATAAGGAAAATAACCAACTAGGAATTTGGGAAGTAATAGTGGCATTTCTAATCACAGAGGAAAGGATGGGCCACATACTCTTAATTATGACGTTGAGACAATTAGCTGATAATGTTTTTAAGCTAGATTATTATTTTACATATTACTTGCCCTTCCAAATTCTAGGTGGATTAAAGGCCTAAAAGTCAAAACTAAAATGATAAAAAGCATTACATGTACTTAATTAACCTTAGGGGTTGAACAAGACACCAAACCCAGAAAGCATAAAGTAAAAATAAAGACAAATTGGACTTGGAAGGTCATTAACACACTCTTAGATGAAAGTATCATAAACATGGTAAAGAAAAAAGACAAGTGATAATCTGGAAACATAATTTAAAGGTTATGTAAATAAACTGTTAATGTACTTAGTAAATGAACTACTCCTACAGTAAATATGTGAAAGGCAAAGAACCTGTAAGAAAATGGACAAAACATTCTATACATATCGTAAAAGGAGCCAAAGAACATATGGAAGAGACATAACTTCACCCATAATCAGGGAAAGGAAAAATCCAAGCAAGAGTCAGATAATTTTCATCCCTCCATTGGACACAGCTTAAAGATTGATCATCTTCCCCAAGAGAAATTAGCCCTTTATGCAAGACTGTGGGGGTGTATGTTAATTCAGCTACTTTGAGGATGATCTGACAGTGTTTCTTAAATGTTTAAATGCACAACCTCTTGCTCAGAAATTCTTCTTCAAGGCATCTGGGCTGCAGAAGCACCTTCACCTGTGTGGAAAAAAATGGGGAAAAAAAATGTCTATCAGTATGGGATGGAGTAACTTGTGGTGTGGCCCCTACCAATACATGCTGCCCATTTTGTAAGGTTAATAAATGACTTAAATCGATTCGTGTTATTGTGGAATGTTGTCCAAAATGTAATATTAGGTGAAAATATAAGTCACAGAGCAACATGTATTTATTGCGTATATATATATATATATATATATATAATATTAGATGAATAATATTAGGTGAAAATATAAGTCACAGAGCAACATGTGTATATATATGTATATATATATATACATATAAATAAACATTAAAAATATATATAAACATTAAAAAATATATATTTTTAATGTTTATTTATTTTTGAAAGAAAGCATGAGTAGGAAAGGGGGAGAGAGAGAAAGAGAGGGAGACACATGGGGCGCCTGGGTGGCTTAGTCGGTTAAGCGTCCGACTTTCGCTTGGGTCATGATCTCGCGGTTCGTGGGTTCGAGCCCCGCATCGGGCTCTGTGCTGACTGCCAGCTCAGAGCCTGGAGCCTGTTTCAGTCTGTGACTCCCTCTCTCTCTGACCCTCCCCTGCTCACGCTGTCTCTCTCTCTCTCTCCTAGAAATAAATAAAAAAAAAAAAAAAGAAAGAAAGAGAGGGAGACACAGAATCCAAAGCAGGTTCTAGGCTGAGCTGTCAGCACAGAGCTCGACGCCGGACTCAAACCCACTGACCTCAAGCTCAAGACCTGAGCCGAAGTCAAATGCTTAACCAACTGAGCCACCCAGGCGCCCCGAGCAATATGTCTATTAGACTCGCATTTATGTACAAAGGAAAACTATATAGTTGCAGCATGCTTAGAAAATGTTTTGAAAGGACACGTATGGTATAGAGTAGGATGTGAGGCTAGTGGATAGGGATAGTTGGCACTTTGTCTTTTATGCTGCATAATTCTGGATCATTCTAACGCTTGGTAAAGCACATACCCATGTGTTCACTTAGTACAAAACACGCTCATCCAACAACTGAGGAACTATTCTGCAGTATCTGCGTGTTGGCATGACATGAGTAAACCGGTGAATGAAAAAAGGCAGTGACCAAAAGCTAACGGAAAAGGTTCCACACTTTATAAAACTATTAGGAAGGCGAGAAGTAGAGAAAATCAGAACCTGGTGATGCAGAATCGCAACGGAATCTTTGAAGACTAGAAACTACACATTTGCAACTTGTCACTGGGACCTGTCTGGAGGGGCCCCACAGGCTCCGACCCTGGTGGGGACCTTGGGAACACCCCAGCTCCCATCCACAGGGCAAATGAACGCACCTGCACAAACCCTGAGACAGAAACCCCCTTAGATGCAACCCCCTACCCCCATCCCCCAGCAGTTCATACACTTGGGTGCAGAACACACACGTGGGGCTGAACCCGACTGAGCAACGGAAGCTCAGGGTGGAGTGTGATACTAACCCATTCTTCGAGGGGGAAATCTAGGTGTCTGTGCACGGGGGACCTAGATTCTCATCTTCCAAAGTGAGCTTTCAAAACCACACCAAGCTCTGGGCTGGAACTCAACAAAGTTCTGGGTTTCCCCCTCCCCTCCCAGTCTCTCTGCACCCCTGCACCCCCCACGACATCCATAGAAGCGTACACACACCCTCACTCTCCAGATCTCCTTTTCTTTTTTTTTATTTTATTTTTATTTTATTTTATTTTTTTTTTTACAAATAGTTTATTGTCAAATTAGTTTCTACATAACACTCAGTGCTCATCCCCAAAGTGCCCTCCTTCATGCCCATCCCCCCCTCCCCCCCACATCCATCAGTCCTCAGTTTTTGTCAGCATTCAAGAGTCTCTCATGGTTTGCCTCTCTCCCTTTCCCCCACCATTTCCGCCCTTCTTCTCCCCCTTGGTCCTCCGTCAAGTTCCTCCTAATCCTCCTATACGTGCAAACATATGGTATTTGTCCTTCTCTGCCTGACTTAAAGCACTCTACACATTCAATGCAATTCCAATCAAAATTGCACCAGCATACTTCTCAAAACTAGAACAAACTATCCAAAAATTTGTATGGAACCACAAAAGACCCCGAATAGCGAAAGTAATACTGAAAAATAAAACCAAAACGGGAGGTATCACCATCCCAGACTTCAGCCTCTACTACAAAGCTGTCATCCTCAAGACAGTATGGTATTGGCACAAAAACAGACCCATAGACCAATGGAACAGAATTGAGAACTCAGAAGTGGACCCAAAAGTATACAGCCAACTGATCTTTGACAAAGCAGGAAAGAATATCCAATGGAAAAAAGACAGCCTTTTTAACAGATGGTGTTGGGAGAACTGGACAGCAACATGCAGAAGAATGAAACTAGATCATTTTCTCACACCATGCACAAAAATCAATCCAGATCTCCTTTTCTAAACCAGAATGTCGGGGGGAGGGCACCTGGGTGGCTCAGTCCGTTAAGCGTCCGACATCGGCTCATGTCATGATCTCGCGGTAAGTGGGTTCCAGCCCCGCGTCGGACCCTGTGCTGACAGCTTGGAGCCTGGAGCCTGCTTTGGATTCTGTGTCTCCCTCTCTCTCTGCCCCTTCCCCCTCCTCAAAAATAAATAAACATTAAAAAAAATTAAACCAGGATATCAAGGGCTATAGGTGCTCAGGCTCCAGAGACAAGGAGGCAGAAGCCGGTTCACTGCCACCAACTCCTTAGCAACACTTTAGCAGCAAAGCGAAGAGGGACGCTTCACAGGTGTCTGACTCCCACTTCCCCAGATGTCCTCCCTGCCAGGACAGCTGGATCCCGGATGAGGTCCCCCTGCCCTGAAAGCCCTGCACACGACGCTCAGGAAGTAGGCGCTGCTGGCTGTCGTTCACCCACTGGCTGCCCAAGGAGCCCGGACGATCTACTGAGCCAGCCCTGACCTCCCCAAGTCCCTGAGCACGCCTGCCCACTCCTCACCCCCAGGCTCTCCCAGGCGCTCCGCGGTCTCCGTTGGCAGCCTGGGTCTCCCCCACCGCTCCCCAGCCCGCCCCTGACAGCCAGGCCGTACCTCTTCGTGGCGGGACAGATAAGCCTGCTGCCGGAGTGTCCAGGCGACAGGGAGCCTGTCACGCTTCCTATTAATGCTGACGTGCTAGTTAGGAAACAGAGAAGCAGAAAGAGGAAGCGACACCGGCCAGCCCTGTTTCTGCACAAGTGACTCCGCACAAGATTGCCCAGCTTCTTAGAGCTGGGGACACCGAGATACCAATTTTTTTTTTTTCTGGGCCTTACTGGCTTGGTCAGTGCTGTTCCTTGTGTGAGCAGCCCCCGCCCTGGACACACCTACCATCCTCTGTCAGCTCATCAGCTCAAAGCCAAGTTGCTTCCTGCAGCCTGCTCTGCCGCCCCAGGGGACACAGGGGGAGGGGGCTGTGACAACCGGAGGAGGTGACAGCCCAGAGCCAGACGGAGCTGGGCCGGCTCCCACCTGCTCAGAGCGCGACTTCACGGGAGTTACCAAGTTATCTGCGTGTGACTTTGCCAGGCCTCCGGACCCCACCCGTTACCCACTTGTAAGCGTCCGCAAACACTCAAGGGTTGTGGAGAGATTCCAATGTGACGCTGCAGAGAAGCTCCCGAGGGCTATCCCGCATTGTGTTGCTTCCCTGTGACACGTTTGGCAGCTCCCCACACTGTCCCACAGCTCTCAGTGCGCCTGGCTGTCCTTCCCGTCCCACAACCCTGTGTGTGGCCCGAATCTCAATCCCTATCACTGGCACACGCCCTGGCACAGAGGAGGCTCGTAGTGGCTGTCTGGAATACACGGATGAATGACTCCCGAGCACACAGCGGAGTTGGGGTTACGGCAAAGTGAGCGAGGCACACCCTTGGGTTACAAGCACTCAGCAACCAAGATAAATAATATTTCAGAGCAATATTGTAAGAAAACAGCACCAAAAAATCTCCAACAAAGTATGAAATTTTATTTTATTTATTTGAGAGAGAGAGTGGGCGAGAGGGTAGGGGAGAGAAAGAGAATCTTAAGCAGGCTCCATGCTCAGCACAGAGCCTGACATGAGGCTCGGTCCCAGGACCCTGGGATTGTGACCTGAGCCAAAATCAACGGCCAGGTGCTCAACTGACAGAGCCACCCAGGCGCCCCCGGAGTATGACATTTTAAATACAGATAGACTCAGTAACAGTGCTACTGTTACGTGAATCATAATGGAGTCTGAGGCAGACGGAGAAAACAGGGCCATTTCTCCAGAGCCAAGACAGCAAGAGGAGGAGGGCGCCTCCCAGGGAAGGGGATGCGGTGGCAGCGGTGGGGATGAGGGGGTGGGGCCGGGAACCTTTCACAGAACCACTGGACTCCTGGCCTTCCTCCGGGCAGGAAGGGCTGGCCGGGCCCGGCGTGGGTGGAAGGCCTCACCTTGGGGGATACCTTGGGTTGGACCCCCACATTGGGGGATATCTTGAGTCGGACCCCCTGCCCCGCGTTGCCCACCAAGAGAACGCAGGACGCCCACACCAGCGAGGAACAAACTGGGTGTGACTTGTGCGCCCCGCCCTCTCTCGGTGGGCAATCGGGAAGCCTTCCTTGGCAGGCCTGTGGGGAAGGCCACCCTCCCACACCAGACTGGGGTACACTGTGTCTTCTCTGAGGGGGCCTCTGAGGGAGTTGTGGTCAAGGACTCAGGGCCCCTGGAAGGTCACGATCTTTCACATATTTGCATCGGAGGCCTCGGGGAGAGGTCTGAGTCGAGAGGAGCACCTGGACACTTTTCCCCACTTTGACTCAGCACCCCGTTCTTTCCACTCTGAGCCCTCCCCCTCCCCCACCCCCAGGCTCAGTAAAATGGCTTCCTCAACGGTGAGAGGATCCCCGCACCCTCCACGCCATCCTATGGGGCAAATGGAAAGGGCGCTTTCTGCGGGTGTACAGTCTCTTAGTCTCTCGTCTTCCATCCATAAGTGGTTAAGGCTTAACTCTTTCCTTGCGGCTGGTGGCTGTAACTGGCTACCCTGGTACCTGCCGCTGCGCTCCCTGTCCTAGCTCTGCCGAGTTCCTTGCAGCAAGCAGGTCAGACCCTTTCCTCAGGTGGCCCAAGTGCAACCCCCCCCCCCAGCCTCTGGGCTCCCCGTGTGATGAGCACTGATTGGGGTGGGGGGTGGGGAGGGAGCGTGTGACCAGGACTCAGCAGTGAGGTGCCCTGAATACAGTACATCAGATTTCAACAGTCTGCAACTTTTAATTTTTTTTAATGTTTATTTTTTAGAGAGAGAGAGAGAGAGAGTCTGAAGCAGGCTCCAGGCTCTGAGCTGTCAGGACAGAGCCTGACGCAAGGCTAGAACTCACAACCGTGAGATCATGACCTGAGCCGAAGTCGGATCTAAACCATCTGGGCCACCCAGGCGCCCCCACAACCTGCAGCTTTTAAGATAAAGTTGCCAATGATATAAAAACAAGCAAGCAACAACAAAAAGATAAGGAAATAGAACAAGAAAAGCTTGATCACGTCCTTGAGGGGAGCCTCTGACGTGGGGGAGGGACCCCACAAGGGGAGATGAGGTGTGTGGTTCCTCAGCGTGGTTCTGACGAGAGGGGTGGGTAATGAACGGGTTCCCTGGAAACTTGCTTTGCCTTGGACAGCTGCCTGGCTCCTCTCTGCCCAGGACTTCTGAAGTTTTGCTCAGATAATAAGAAAAATTCTCTATTGTTTTTGCATTTATTATTTTTTTAATTTTTATGATGTTTATTTATTTTTGAGACAGATAAAAACAGGCATGAGTAGGGGAGGGGCAGAGAGAGAGACACACACAGAATCCAAAGCAGTCTCCAGGCTCTGAGCTGTCAGCACAGAGCCCAATGTGGGGCTCGAACCCACGAACCATGAGATCAGGATCTGAACCAAAGTTGGATGCTTAACCAACTGAGCCACCCAGGCACCCTGCATTTTTGCATTTAAAATATTTTCAAGTTCCATACTCTAAAGTGCACCAATCCTAAGTGTCCAATGCAATGGATATTTATAAATCTATACACTCATATAACCACCAGGTTGACTACAGAACGTTTTGAGACCCCAGAAGTTCTCTCTGTGCCCTTTCCCCATTACAATCCTTCAAAGGGGACCATTACTCTGATTTCTCCCACCGTAAATTAGCAGTGCCTATATTTTTATTTACAATTGTAGTAAAATATACATAACATAAAACCTGCTATCTTTACCACTTGTAAGTGGACAGTTCAGCGGCACGAAGTACACTCACGTTGTTGGGCGAATTGGGTGAATTCACATTGACCACTGTCCCTCTCCAGAACATATTCATCATCTCAAACCGGAAGTCAGTCCCCCTTAAACAATAACTCCCCACTCCCCCTCATCCTAGCTCCTGGCGACCACCGTTCTACTTTCTGCCTTTGTGACTCTGACCGTTCTGGGTGCTTCGTACAATCCTACAACATGCATCCCGTGGCAACTGGTTTATTTCACTTACCGTCATGTCTTCATGGTTCATTCACAGTGTTGCATGAGTCAGAATTTCCTTCTTTTAAAGTCTGAATAATATTCGATGGTATGATTAAACCACATTTTGTTTATCCATTCATCTGTTGATGGCCATTTGAGCTGCTCAGCTATTGAGAACAAAGCTGCCATGAACAGGAGCGTACAAATATTTGCTCAAGTCCCTGCTTTCACTTCTTTTAAGAATGTACCCAGAAGTTGGGGCGCCCAGGTGGTTCAGTGGGTTGAGCGTCCGACTTTGGCCCAAGTCATGATCTTGCGGTTCATGAGTTCGAGCCCCTTGTTGGGTTCTGTGCTGACAGCTCAGAGCCTAGACCCTGCTTCAGATTCTGTATCTCCCTCTCTATCCCTCCCCATCTTGCACTCTGCCCCTGTGTCTCTGTGTCTCTGTGTCTCTCTGTCTCTCCCCCCTCTCAAAAATAAATTAAAACATTTAAAAAAATGTATCCAGAGGTAGAATTGCTGATCATATGGTACTCCCTGTTTAAATAGCTAGAATTGTTGAATCATTACACAGTACGCCTAAAACTAATATAACACTGTATGCTAATTATACTGGAATAAAAAAAACCTAGCCCTTTCAATACATATTAAACACTCTACATGAGAAGAATCACTTTGTCAGCCTAACTGGGCATCTTTTTAATTTCCCAGTGGCATATAAAATAAGAATGTATCTTACAATTGGTGACATCTTAAAGTCTATGAAATTTGTGATAAAGATGGCAAGAACATGACACTATAACGGTTCTGGGCTGAGCCTTTTCATGATGTGGCCAGACAGCAGACCCCGTGCTTTACTCAGGTGATTTATTCTACTCCTGACAATATCCTTTACGTAGCCATTATTATGTTCATATTACAGATGAAGAAACGAAGGCGAAGCAAGTGAAATAACATGTCAGAGGTAACATAGCTAGTCTATAATAACACTGTAGTTACCGTGGTGAGTTTTTTTTTCTTTTTACTTTCGTTCCAAAGCAATTTCAAAATATGGAAAGCGTTAAGGGCAGCACTGAGCACTTCGATAGTCCCTTGAAGGACATCACGATGCCTTCCAAGCCTCACTGTCTCAGTCAGGCCTTTTATAACAGAGGAGCCAACCCAGGACCACACTCTGTGTGTATACGTCCCATCTTTACGGGCTCCTTCGACCTGGAACCGTGCCTTTCCTCCCCCTGATGTCTGTGAAGTCTGTAGGCCAGGTGTTTTGCAGAACATCTCCACTGTGTAGGCTGGTCTGGGGTTTCCTCAGAATTCGACCCAGGGTATCATTTTTGGCCAGGATCACAGAGAAGTGATGCTAGGTTCTTCTTGGGGCCTTCTGTCAGCTTTCAAGTTCACTTTGTCACATGACTGGGGAGGTTCGGCCAAGTTTCTCACTGTCAAATTAGTCCTCCCCTCCCCCCACCTTTTGAATAAATCAATGAGTATTTTGTGGAGAGATATTTTGAGACTGTGTGAAATTCCATCATCCCCCTCCTTCGACCTGCTGATTTAGCAAGCAGTGATGCTCCTTAACTAAATTACAGCTGTCGTAACAGTTGCCCCTTTTGAAGGCGTCATTCCTTCTATGTTTGTTAGTTGGCACTAACTAACTAAAGAAACTAAAGTAACTTGGGGAGCCTTGGTTAAGCGTTCGACTTTGGCCCAGGCCATGATCCTGCTTGGAGGGCTTCGTGGG